ATCAACTTCCCTAACAGACAAAAAGATCAGCTCGTAGTGCATTTGGAGTTCATTCTACCAGGTCAGACTGTTCATCAAGCTTTCTATTTAGAGGTTCTGAAAAGATTGTGTAACAGTGTGTGACAAGAAAGGCCTCATTTGTGGCAGACGGGGGACTGATTCTGCCACGATGACAATGCACCTCTCAGTGTGCCCATTTTTTGGTAAAAAACAGCATGCCTCTCATCCCACACACTTTACTCACCTGACCTCCCTCTGTGTGACTTCTTTCTGTTTCCAAGAATGCAGAGGGACATGAAAGGACAGCGATTTGACGACATAGAAGAGGTAAAGAAAAAAAAATGAGGGAGGTGCTCTGTCAGCCATACAAACAGATGAATTTGAAAAATGTTTCCAAGAATGGAATCGCAGATTTGACAAATGTTATGTAGTGGAGAGTACTTTGTGTAATGGAGAGCACTTTGAAGGTGATAAGGTTGTTTTGTAAAAACTCAAATACATAGCTTTGAAAAAATTTTGGTTTGGGGTGGAGGATACTCACTTGTATACCAGACAATTTCCAGCTCTGGTCCAGAGAGCTCTCGTTGACCAATTGTCAGAACTAGATTGCCAAGTCTTTTCCCCCCTAGTTTGTGTTATTCTAGAAGCTCCACTAAAACTTGTCCAATTCTGCTATCTTGAAATTCCAATGACGTTGATTCCAAGTTCATAGCAACATGCATGCCACCAGAGTTCAACAAACAAACAGACAGGTGGGGGATTCTTAAGGCATCTGAATTGAGCAAAGCTCTGGGAGATACAGAAGGGAACAAAATAGGTACTGTCCCCACTCTAGTGGAGCTTAATTCAATATTAGAGGAGGCAGACAAAAACAAACCAATGATTTATCATATGTCAAGTGGTTATGGTCCTATTGAGAAAATGATATTGGCTTCCTAAGGCTGCTGTGACAAAGTCCCACAAACTGCATGGCTTTAAGGAACAAAAATTTATCTATCATCTCGCCCTTCGGAGGTTGAGGAGTCTTGAATTCAGGGTATTGATAGGGCCATGCTGTCTGTGTCAGCTCTAAGGGAAGGGCCTATCTTCTCTCTCCCCGCGGTCTGGTAGAGTTCCTTGGCTTGAAGTTACACCTTCACCTGTCCGTTTTCTTCTTGTGGGTCTTTATATGTCTCCTCGTGTGGAAGGACATCGCTCAGATGAGGTGAGGACTTGCCCTTCTCTGAGATGACGTCATGTTAATGAATGTTTTCAAGGATCGTGTTTCCAAACAAGATCACATTCACAGGTACCAGGGATTAAGACTTTAACATGTCCTTGGGGGTAGTGATGGGAGGGTCACAATTCAGCACATAACAAAAAATAAAGTAGGCAAGGGGCATAAGGAGCACTCTATGTGTGTCTGTTTGTGCGAGTCTGTGTATTACTTTGTTTAGGATATCAGGAAAGGTCTGAGTGATTAGATGATATTTGAACAGAAACTTAAAGGACTTGAAGTGAGCCAGGGCTATATCTTAGATAAGAGCGGTATACACAGAATAATAAGTAGAGGCATCTGATTTTCCACACAGGGGGAAAAAACCACAACATTATTAGAACTCATGGGAGAATTTGGAAAGGCTGCTAGAAATAAGATCACTATGCAAAAATCTTACAGAAATCCCCCATGCCAGCTACGTGGACAACTGCCCCGCCCCCAGAAGAATTTACTTGAGAGGAGGGCAATGAAGCTGCAGCTAGGGGAGAAGGGCATGTCTGACCAGAGCAAATGGGAGCAAATGAAGGGGGAGGAAGAGAGAGTGGAGCACATCCTGACCCACCTGGCCTGGAGGACGACATCCCCGCTCTGAACAGCCAATGGACAGAGTGGACAATATGGCTGATCACACCATGAGACACGCCATCCCTTGATGGCCCCGGGCTCTAAGGGGGACAACACTGGAGACTCAGTGTCGGGACTGGCCCAGACTGACCCTGAAACACCGAGGTAAACCACAAAGGGCGTGCGGCAGAAAAATCTTACAGAAACAACCAATTAGTACATACAATGTAAAAACAAATAAAATCAACATAACTGAGGCGAAATGTAACAGAAGATCCACAAGAGCTGCGTGTGTCTCCTCGAGCAGTGACAGCATCCCAGGGAGCCCCTCCGTATCTGGTTCTGTCTTGCTTTTCCCCACCATGCCATCCTTGCTATAGAGTCTTAAAAATCTGCTTCTTTCAGTGTGAAAACCATTTTTCTTAGTGTTTTTTTTTCTTTTAGAATAGTGGTGCCATGCAATACTTGTCTTTTTGAGATTGACTGACTTTGCTAAACATACTATCTTTCAAATTAATCCATGTCATGGGGTGTTTGACTCTTTTTACTCAGAGATGCATAACATTCCATTATACATCTCTACCAGAGTTTTTGTACCCATTCTTCCACAGAGGGTTGGTTCCATGTTTACTGCTTTGCTAAACATGGGTGTGCATAATCTGTATGTATTTTGTTCTTTATTTCTTTGGGGTCTATACCGAGTAAAGAGATCGCGGGCCTATCTGGTGTTTCCATTTGCATTTGTTTAAGCAAGTGCCAGACTGTTTTTGATAGTAGTGGCTGTACAATTCTACAATCCCACCAGCAATGGACGAGTGTTCCGATCTCTCCATAGCCTCTTCAGCATTTGTAATTTTTTTTATTTTTTGTTTTGCTTTTTGAATTTTGCTATCAGCGTCAGTGTGAGGCAGTATCTAAGTGTTTGTTATCATATCTTTCTCCTACAGAATGGCTGCTGGGTTCAAACCACTAACCTTTTGGTTAGCATCCAAGCTCTTAACCAGAGTTAAAATAGCAATCCTCCACAAATTGATAGACAAATTAAATGGAATTCCAATCAAAGGCAATTTTTTTTGTTTTAAAAATAACCAGACAAAGTGGTCTTAAATTCCCATGAGATGAAGGGCCAAGAATAGTCAAGCCATTGTTTAAAGTCCAAAATGTATAATCCTGACCAGTAGGCACTTCTCCATCAAGCAGCAATTCAGAGACTCAGGCTTCCAATTTGGGCTCCTTTTAAGGTCAGCCGGCTTATTTGCATCAAATTAATTAGCAGATGGGGAAAGGGCATGGAAGAGCATGCACAGGTCTCACTGGCAATGTCTAGAAATGGTGTATATTGTTTTCTACTCACTTCATTGGCCAGAGCTCACTTCTGCGGCCACCCTACTTGCAGAGGAATCTGTTACCTGCAGCCTGATGATTGTGGTCTCAAAAACAAGGAGATACTGATGTGGTGAAGAGCTAGCCTCTCTCTGTCACACCTACTGAAGATCACAATTGTTTGTAAAGATATAATCACCCAAACTGTGTACTCATGGCATGAGGAGAGACAATAGAATAAAAATCAGAACCTAGAAACCAACCAATGTATGGATGGAAAGTGTGTATCTGACAACGATCACTTCAAAATCAGTGGAGAGGAGGGAACCATTTAAAAAGAGAGTAAGTCCAAAAAGATGGCTCTGAAATCATAGAAACCTTTAAGCAAAAATACCAAAATACGAAGCTATTGCTTCTTAATATATTCTCCCACCTAGTTCTATAGATTTCCTTTAAGGAATTTTTATTGTGATCTAAGTGTGTGTGTGTGTGTGTGTGTGATTTCCATTTCAGACTATCAACTGTATTCAATAGTTCAAGCCACTCATCACCTACCCCCTACCCGCATTCTATCCCCTCCCACAATTTCTTCTCTCCCTCTCATGACCCGTCCTCCCCTTTGCCCAACTCAATACTTGCCAACCCTCGAATCTACTGCTTCATCCTCCAGCCCTTGGGAACCTCCTAAGCCTGACCCATCTGGTAGGTAAGCCTTTGTCTTGGATTTATCCTTAGAGTAGTGGTCTTATACAGTGCTTACGCTTTTGTGATTGACTAGCTTCACTCAGTATGTTGTTCTCCAGGTTCATCTATGTCATGAATCGTTCCATGGTTTCAGCATAATGTTTTTAGTGGTGCATAATAGTCCATTGTGTGTATGTACCAGTGTTTGTTTGTGTTGGGCATTTGGGCTGTTTCCAACTTCTTGCCATTGGGAACAGTGATACAATGAACATAGGAGTGCATACATCTCTTCATGGTATGGCTCTTACTTCTTTAGGGTATATATCCAGCAGAGGTATTGTTGGATTGTATGGAATTTCTGTTCTCAGTTGTGTGAATTAACATCATATCATTTTCCACAATAGTTGTTGTGTTACGTTGACTAGGGAAACAAATTCAGTGACACTGATATATGTGTAAGAAAGAGCTTTGTATCAAGAAGTAAGTATATATCATGAAAACATCCAAGCCCAGTCCAACTCAAACCCATATGTCCAATATTACTAGTCCACAAGTCCCTCTTCAGACTCACACAGCCACGTGCAATGATGCAGAATGCAGGAAGATCACAGGCTGGTGGGTGCAGAGCTGTGTGGATTCGATGGCAGTGGTCACATGCAGGGCTCTGGCAGCAACCAGGGTCTGCCAGAAAGGGGGAGGCACAGAGAAAGGTGGAGGTTCCCAGGGTCCTCCTTACGAGAGGGCCGTGCCCACAAGGAGGCACCAGCAGGTTGTAACCTGATTGACAGGTTGAATACCAGCCCTACACTTTCATCGATCTTCAAGTTGGTGTACCACAGTTGTACACAGGACTATACACTTCCGAAGGTGGTTTCCATCTCTCTAACCCTTCTCCAAATACTTCTGCGTGCTTTGATTTACACCATGTTAAAACGGCAGTTTGGGCATCCTCGAGGGACACAAATCACGTTCCTTTTTAATGTTGAGTTGGGGGAACAAAAAGATGTGTGCAGGGGCAAGATCAGGTCTATAAGCTGGATGGGACATGACGTCATCTAGGATAACCTGGCGGAATGAGGAAGTGTGTTGTCATGATGGAAAGACATTGCTTGGCCTTGGTCAGAAAAAAAGAGGCAGACCTTCAACGAGATGGAGTGACACGATGGCTGCAACAATGGGCTGTAACAGAGCCACCATGATCACGAAGGTGGTTTTCCCAGGGCGAGGCTCATCCATTGCACTGCGGGTGTGCTGACCCCTGTGATTTCCCCAAATGCGGGAAACTCAGCTGCATAATTTGTGGTAGTGGGGGACTGAGTTTGCACTCTCCCCTAAAAAAAAGAAAAAAAATTAAAACAAACAAACAAACAAACAATTGTGAGGATGAGGCAGGGCCAGGTAGGGGTTCATTCTGTTGTTCATGGGGTCACCAAGAGTTAGCACTCACTCGACAACACACAACAACAACGGACTGAGGGAAGGGCATTACTGAGAGCTCTTCGGCTGCCAGCCGCTGATCTCAGAGACATGCTTAAACTTAAGCATTTTGTTTGGAATAAACCCATTTTGTTTGGAATGAACTGGAAACCTAGCAGCAATACTTATCAACTTACCATGAACTATGGTCCTGGGACTATTGGCTATAGCATATATATATATACATACATACACATACATACATATACACACATACATATATATATAATGGAAGCTCATATATAAAAATAAATTCTAGGTAACTTGATGAAGTCACTTAGGTGTGTGATGAAGATCAAAAATTGCAGCCTTCAGTATGGATTAGAACTCAATGTAAAGAAGACTCCAAACCTCACAACTTGTCCAATAGGTAACAGCATGGCAAATAGAGAAAAGATTGACGTTAGTTGACTTGGATCCACATTCAATGCTCAAGAAAGCAGCCGCCAAGAGATCAAGACTCATGGCATTAGGTCCATCTGCTGCACAAGACCTCTTTAGGGGACTGAAAAGCCAAGATGCTACTTTGGAGACTAAGGTGCACCTGACCCAAGCCATGGTATTTTCAATGGCCTCATCTTTGTCCCTGAGAACTTTGGGTTAGCAGCCTAACACTTAGCCCACCATGTCACTAGGGCTCCTTGCCCAGACTCCACAACCCATCACTCACTTTCTCTCCTTGGTTATGTGCACAAAGAGACATGCTCGTGAGACTCCTTGCGAGATCATTTGTGTCCCGACAAAATTGGAAAACAGTCTGTCTGTCTACCAATAGCAGAGTCGATCAAGGAATGGTGGAGTTTTATACCATTTTCAGCAGGTAAAACAAAGGAACCAGGCCTATATAATCAACTTGGATAAACTTCAGAAAATAATGCTGAATGACAGCAAATTGAGAATTAGTCCATTCGTGTAATTGTGCACACATATAACATGGGTAAACATTAAAATACATACAATAATATGGGCTCCTAAAGTATGAAAACACGGATTGGCAGGATAGTAACTTCTGGGGTTGCAACGACTAGGCAGCTGATGGAAACATTGGCATTATGTGGGGGTGGAGGATGATCACATCCGATCACAAATGGAAGATGACTACATCATTACATCACTGCCAACTTAACTCGCTACTGAACTATAAAATTATGTTTCAGGTATCTATTTTGATGAAGTTCCCACTAGTGGTTCCGGTGGGCAGCACTGGCTTACAAACCCTAAGACCACGCTGTTGAATTTCTGGCCCAGGTGAGTGGGCCCAAGCCACACAGAGAGACAAAGGAGGACTTGCCTGGGTAGATGGGTTTCCTGGTTGTTAGATGACATCAGGTTGCTTCTGACTCATAGCAACACTGTGTTCAACAGAATGAAACACCGCCAGACCCTCACAATGGTTATGATCAGCATGATGGAAAGTGTATCTCAATCCATCTCGTCAATAAATCCATTTATTGCTGTCCTTCTACTATACCACGCATGTCCTTTTCCAAGGACTAGTTTCTCCCGATAACATTTCCAATCCAATTATCCGTCCTGACTTTTACATTCCAGTAAATACTTTCAGCCTTAACTACCCATCATTGATCCTGTGTTTGGGCTTAGGGTAGGGAAGAGAGGAACTTGAGCTCCCCCTGGAGGCCAAAAGTGTATTAATGTTCGTGGTTCTCTTCAGAAATCTAAGCTCTTAGGGAGTTGGAATTGACTTGATCCTAGCGGATCTGGGTGGGTTTGGTTTTGCACGGGGAGAAACAACTATGGTAAAAACAATGACTCCCAGAGTGCTGACTACCTGCCGCACACTGTGCAGAATTGGTGTGCCCAACGTTCCTAAGCTAGAATGGCAAAGTCAAGTTGAAACCTAGCTTTGTCAGACCTATGCTTAGGCGGCTGCGTCCCACGGAACGGGGCTGTTAAAAGATCCTTCCGTGGTGTGGCTGAGAGATCACCTCCTCTCCTTAGCGCCTGCCCACGACAGCGCAGAGAGCACGCTCTTCCCCAAGCACACAGAGCAGTCATGATGGTGATGGGGCCAGGCCTTCCTGCTGACTCTCATGCTCCTGGCCTGCTGCTCCTGATTACGCTGCTTATGAAATCACCCGAGTGGCCGGGGTTACTCATTCTCCAGGGCTTTCTGGAAGCAGCAACGCTGTGGAGGGCTGCTGGCCTCTCTGGCGGGCCCATTCCACTCTGCACTGCCTAAGGTAGTGACTGGCTTACTTACCTCTGTGCCCCCAGCTGCGCATCTAGAGGGAGGAGTGACTCGAAGAATGGGTGAATGAATGAATGGTAGTGGTGATTGGAAGCAAATGGTAGCAATATAAGGAAAGGGGGGGGGGAGAATGTGGTGCCTGTAACCATGGCAACGATGTTCCCATAGATAGTACTGGGAAGAGCGTAACCATAGCAACACGGATGGTGAGGCTTGTTTGGCCAGCACTTGCCTTGCAGCCTTCCTGTCTGTCCCTGCCAAGTCAGAATGCTCAGTGGCCAGACCTGCTGATGGGAGCATTTGAGCATCTACTGCCTTGCTCCCTTCCCTAACATCTCCCCTCACCCCACAAGTGGGGAGTTTGCAGAGGGCACACCCTCTTCCTGAGGACAAAGGGGGCCCTTTAGCGGCAACAGAAAGCCCTGTGGGGTGGGCACTGCCTGCCTGGATGTATGTATCTGAGCACATGGGCGAGGCCGTCGGATGGGCAGGTGTGGTGGGTGCACATGTTAAGGGCAGGGCCTCGTTCCTGGGAGCCCCAAAGAAAGGGTCTGTCCCGCGTGTTAGGGAAAGGGGCCGTCCCACACATGTTCACCAGGCACGTCCAGATGCGTGGGGGGCCCGTGGGGGCGGAGTTGGCTGGCCACGTGTGTGGCCACAGTGTGGGGTGTCTGGGAGATTCGCAGAGGGGGTTGTGTAAGCGTGTGTTTCAGCCAGCTCTGCCACGAGGGGTGGGAATGGGGACCCTGGGTCTGAGGACCTGCGGTGGGGAGGGGGCTCTCTGGCCCATCCATCACGGGGAGCGCAGCGAGCTGGGCGGATATCACGGTGTCCCGGGCGGCTCGGCTCACAGATCTTATCCTCTTCATTTCCGCCTGAGCCGAGGCCGCCAGCGCCGACTCCCTGAAGGCTCCATCCATCATGGGGGGCGGGGGGTGGGATGCTGTGCGGGGCGGGAGGAAGAGGCGGCCAGAGCCAGACCCACGATCATCCAGACAGGACGAGTAGGGGGATGTCTGGGTCCGCTTTTCGACCAGGGAGAGGTGGGGAGGACGCTGTCTCTGTCCTGGAGGCTCAGACGGGGTGCGGGGGTGGGACTGGGGGTGGACAGGCCGACTGAGCCCGGCCCGGGATTCTCGGAGGTTGCCTGGTCCTGATCCTCCCACGCTAGAGGTTGGAGCGGTGGCGTAGGGGTCGCGCCCCCCCTACCCACACACACCCCTGGGGAAAGGGGTGTTGAGCGCAGGGCCCGCACCTGGACCCTCTGGGGTGACCAGGCCCGGGCTGCGCAGGCGGGGGCGGGCGCCCCGAAGGGAGGCCTTATTTCATTTCCCCGCGCTGCTGAGGTTTCTGCGGAGTGTCTCTCGCACCTCTTTAAATTTTACGGCGCTTGGCCCGTGGCCGCCGGCCCCGCCCCGGGGAGGAAGCGGGTGCGGGGCTGGAGCCTTCCTCCTCCGAAGGGCTGTCCCCGCAGACAGGGCGCAGGTCAGGCCCCGGGCGCCTGGAGGCAACCCCGCCGAGCCAGCTCTGCGCCGGCCTCCTGGGAGCCTGGGTCCGGAGGACCGCATTACCTGGGAGCCGCTCCTGCCTGGCCCCCGTCCCTTTCCAGTCGCCGTCCGGAGCCACATCTCCTTCCCCCTACTCCAGCTCCAGGGTCTGGGCAGTGTCCCCAAGCCCCCAGTCAATCGATAGGGGGAGCCAGCCAAGTCTCCGGTCACTGATGCCCAGGCCTGGCACCAGCCCAGAGATTAAGTTGGGGCCTGGCGATAAATGAGGGCAGTTGAGAAGCTTATGGACCCACACACTAGTCCCTCAGATGGGCCTTTGGGGGACGGCGTCCTCCGGTGTCCTAACCCAACCCCAGTATCAGGTCCTGCCTCTGAGGGATGTGCAGCGAGGCAGGGTGGTTGGGCAGGGGGAGTTGGGGGAGTTGAGGGTCTGGGGAAGGAAGGAGAATCACGGCTCAAAGACAAATTGTCAGGATGGAGGCAGGATTTGAGGGCAGCTCCCTCCACCCCTGTTCCCATTCCTGTGCCCCAGCCCCAGTCACCGAGGTTTGTAATCGCCAACTCAATTCTGCTACAGTTGCCGATTGACACAGTATCAGGCTACATAGCTCCTGGTGTCGATCGCACACAGAGCCAGCATACAAGATGTGGAACAGAAATCGGCTCCCATTGGGCTGGGAGGTTGAATGGGGCCAATGCTCAGCGGTGGGAAACACCCACTGCCCAGAGGGTCCCCCTGATCAGGGGCAGAGGGACCCAAGAATGCAGCTGGAGCTGCCTGCCCGGTGTTTGGATCCCCCAGGCACCTCTGGGCTGAGGGGGGCCCAGCACATTCTTTTTCTCCATTGACCTGGAGAGGAATGTCCAGGATATCACACCCTAGGGAGCTCCACCGCCTGCATCTGTATGAGCGACATCGGTCACCGCCACATAACCTAGCGCAGGCCGGTGTGACCGCGCGCGCCCTGCCCCCACTCCCTGCTTCTGCGGACCTTCTCCTGGGGGATGCTCTGGTCCCTTTCACAGTCCTCCCCGCCCATCACTCACCACGTGCCCGTCGATTTGCCCTTTGTAAGCCTCGCTCAAATCTGCCCCTTCTCTCATCCCTGCCACTGTGGTCATCATGCCGGTTACACTGTCT